AATTCTCTTCTGAAATCTGTCAGTCTTGTCAATTATATAACCTGAAACAGGATTTCTAAGTAAATCTGTAAAAATAAAAATGGCTTCTTTGGCTTTTTATATATTAATTGTTTGAAAAAATAGAATATTTTTTATTTATACCTATGAAATAATTTTAAATTTTTATATATTTCTGCTTAATATATGTTTTGAAACATTTAGAAAATATTTAAAAAACTAACACTATACAAACATATACGCACTGTAATTGTAAATTGATTGAAAAATAAAAAAAAATGTATCAATTTTTCAATAAGGGAAAAGATGGTATACCCGGTGCTCCAGGACCTCAAGGAGAACCTGGAACTCCAGCAACCGTGACATGGAATATGCTTAAATTAGAAAAGGGTGATAAAGGAGCGCGTGGAGAACAAGGTCGACAAGGCCCGCCGGGACCAGAAGGACCTTTGGGAGAAAAAGGTAGACCTGGATTTGAAGGTTTTCCAGGGCTTAAAGGAACGCCAGTAAGATTAATTTCTCAATTATTCTTATTAATTTTAAGAAAACAATCAATATTTTTCTGGCAAATCTTTTTTATATGTCAGATTACAAACTCGTCGCTTTTAGGGAGATCGTGGATTCCCTGGACAAGATGGTGTTCCAGGAAGACCGGGAACGCCTGGACGTAAGGGAGAGAAAGGATTAAGTGTAAAAGGTGAACCTGGAGAACCAGGTCGACCAGGATTTTCAGGACAGAAAGGAGAACCTGGTTTGTACGGACTTAAGGGTGAACCTGGTAAGACTTTGTCAATTCTTTAAAAAATTTTTATTTGTTATTTATTTTGAAAATGTAAAAATATGTTATATATGTTTATATATAAATATACAATAAAAATTATTTTTGTATCTTTAATTAGGTCAGTGTCCACCACTCGACCTTATGAAAGGCTTCAAAGGTGATCGAGGTTTAACTGGTGACAAAGGAGAACCTGGACCACCTGGCAGGGATGGATTACCTGGTGATAAAGGATTGCATGGTTTATCGGTAAGTATATCAATAAAGAAAATTTGTGAAAAAATATTCATTTTTATCAGAGCTATTTATGTATGACAAATATATGTAAATTTTTTTATAAATAAAATTAATTACTAAATTTTATTAATAATTTCAT